CCCTTAACATTTACTAGCCCCCCAGTTTCCTCCATTACACCATTTCATTTATTCATTATATTCTCTCACCCTCTTTCTGTTTCTCTCTCTCTCTCTCTCTCTCTCTCTCATGGAATTTGAAAATTAAGGCCCAGTTTTGCAGGGAAAAAAATGAGAATCCTGCTTGGATATTCACTTCTTCTGGTGCTGATTGCAGCAGCAGAAGCAGAATCCACCTGCAACAGCACAGACCAAGCCCAAATCTTCAAGGCATTCAAATCAGTCTCCGGTTTCAACCTCTCCTGGCTCCAAAATTCGAAGCGACCCAACTGCTCCAACCCAACCATCACTCAAATCAACCTCCCCTCCAGAAACCTAACCGGAATAATCTCATGGAAGTACCTCAGAAACTTGTCGAATCTGCAGGCCCTCGATCTCTCTTCCAACAATCTCAAGGGCTCCGTCCCGGGCTGGTTCTGGTCGCTCCCGAACCTGGTCCGAGTCAATCTCTCCAAGAACCGGCTCGGAGGGAGCTTCGGGCTCGAACACACATCCGGAAACGGCTCAGTTTCTTCGGTCCAGGAGCTCAATCTCTCGTATAACCGGTACACCAACTTGGGCCAGCTCTCTGGGTTCCCGAACCTTACATTTCTCGACCTTTCCCACAACGATTTGGGCACTCTGCAGCCGTCTGCTTTCTCCAACCTCAACAATTTGCAGTACCTCGACATCTCCAGCTGCAGAATTTCTGGGAGTCTAAAACCCATCTCTGTTTTGCACGGATTGAAGTATTTGGACATTTCGGACAACAAAATCAACGGTTCTTTCCCTTTGGATTTCCCTCCGCTAAAGGGCCTGAAATTCCTGAACATTTCGCTCAATAATCTCACCGGCCGGGTCGGACCGGAAGAGTACCAGAAATTCGGGAAAAGCGCTTTTATCCACGCCGGAAAAAGCCTCACTCCTTTCGACAGTTCCAAAACCAAAGCCCCAAGCTTTCAAACTTCCAATGCAAACCCACCTCACAAAACCCTCCAAAAACAAAAACCCATGACCCAAGAATCCCCCCACAAAGAACCCAAATCGCAAAAATCCCATAAGATTCTTGTTCTGAGCTTATCCTGCGCATCCGCACTTGTAATCCTTCTGTCCATAAGCACGTGCGTAGCTTGCATATGCAGGAAAAAGTACTTTGCCAAAAAGCACAAATGGGCTATTTCCAAACCGGTTCAGTTAGTCCCGTTCAAGATCGAGAAATCGGGACCGTTCTCTTTCGAGACCGAGTCGGGGACGTCGTGGGTCGCGGACGTCAAGGATCCGACGTCGGCTCCGGTGGTGATGTTCGAGAAGCCGTTGCTGAACTTGACGTTTAAGGACTTGATCGCTGCAACGTCGCACTTTGGCAAGGACTCCCAGCTCGCCGAGGGAAGGTGTGGGCCAGTCTACACCGCCGTGCTTCCCGGCGACCTCCACGTGGCTATAAAGGTGCTGGAGAACGCCAGGGACGTCGATTACGATGACGCGGTGCAAATGTTTGAAAATCTTTCGAGATTGAAACATCCCAACCTGCTGCCTCTCTCCGGTTACTGCATTGCAGGTACTGCGCATTTCACACTCTCTCTCTCACGATAAATTTTTAGTTACGACGAAAAAAGCAAGTGGTATATCATGTGTTTTAACAAGAATGATAAGAAATTTTATTTTTTAAATTATTAATTTTTTAGCACATATATCATACTATTTACATGACATATGGTGTATTATTATTATTATGTATAACGATCCTACTAAAAATAATCTCTCCTCTCTCGCCCGCCGGCACCAGCCGGTCGGTCGTTGGTAATCTCACCAAACGACATAAATGCGACACACGGGTTTTAATTGCAATGTCGTAAATGACAAGGGTCCGTACGTACGAGAGACTGTTTTGTCACCGTCGTCACGTAAAATCTAATTTAGCACACATGCTATTGGTATGATTTTGTTCATAAATTTTCACGTGTTTACTGAAAATTTGTTTGTCCTCGCGAAATTTAACAATGAACCGGTATATAAAATGCATTAAAATATTGAACAATTAAATTGTATGTCGTTCAATTTAGCGGTTTAAACAACAGTGCATCTCATACATTGACGTTTCATTCTTTTGCTTCCTCATTTTCCTAATTCGGTTTATTAGATCATAAGTAAGTACACATTTCACTTAATCATATTTGAAACTAACTAAACATGTCATTAAACCCTATATATTTTTCTCTACAGGGAGAGAGAAGTTGGTATTGTACGAGTTCATGGCGAACGGGGACTTGCACAGATGGTTGCACGAGCTGCCGACCGGGGAGCCCAACGTGGAGGACTGGACTGGTGACACGTGGGAGCAAAGCTTTGTTAATGGAGCCTACTCGCCGGAAAAGAAAGGGTGGCTCACGCGCCACCGCATTGCGGTTGGAATAGCCCGTGGACTGGCGTACCTCCACCAGGCGGGGTCGAGCCCCGTAGTCCACGGCCACCTCGTAACTTCCAACATATTATTGGGTCCGGACTTCGAGCCGAGAATAGCCGATTTTGGTTTGAGATGTATCGGGAGTCGGCGGGAAGTTGGCGGCGGAGGTGAAGGCAGCGGTGCAGAGACAGATGTGTATTGTTTTGGGGTGGTGTTGATGGAGCTTTTGACGGGGAGGATGGGGACGGCGGAGATGGTGGTGTGGGTGAGGAGGATGGTGAGGGAAGGACGTGGTTTGGACGCGGTGGACGAGAAGTTGAGAGAAAGTGGGCAGTTGGAGAGGGAGATGGTGGAGAGCCTGCGAGTGGGGTACTTGTGTACGGCGGAGTCACCTGGGAAAAGGCCCAGCGTGCAACAAGTCCTGGGTTTGCTCAAAGACATACATCCCAGTCCCACTGCCACTGTGGGCTTTGGCTGACTTCACTTCATTTCACGCCCCGTGAAACTGCGTGCAATTAGAAAATTAGAAATGAAAATCGAAATCATTTTTCGTTTTTCTTTTAGTATATCCGCCGTGTAAAACTCTGCTGCACATTCATGTTTATTTTTAGCCTTTGTTGTCAACTGAAGAAGGATAATGAGAGAAATAAACAGAAGTGTGCAAAAAGAGAAAAAGAGTGCGGATGTTATTTCTCATGTCGTTTTGCATTATTCCGGATGTACATTTTAGCTTTAGTGTTTATAAAAAAAATGACTTCTGCACATTCTATTTCTCATTCTGCTTATTATTGTTTACTTTTATGCGTTGATTTATTTAGTTATAAGCCTAAATAAATATGGTGGGCAGAAAGAGAGAAGAGTATCGAAAATTCCTCTTATAAATAAGGAATACATGGTGCTAATATCAATTCTTTTTCCTACTTCCAAATCAAGAGTGAATGAATGGGACCACGTTTTGTTGTCTCAAATTTAAGAATTGTATAATCTTTCTTTTAGAAAATAGTGATGTGAATGCAAAAATCAAAAGAAAAAAATAAAATAAAAAAAGTTTGAGCCCATAAAAGTATGGAGAATGGGAGAGATGGAAGGGGGAGATGTTGAAGTTTAGGTGAGCAGAGAATCCCACTTATTGCTTGTCTCTTGTGAAGGATTCTCATCACCACCACCTCCTTTTCCCCCTTTCTTTTTGTTTCTACCTGCGACTCTGCTTTATTCGTTCATCTTTCTGGTGATTTATTATTTTAAATTTTCAAAAGAAAAAAGATAAATTAAAGAAGATTAATGAGACGTACTTTATAGTCGGATGGGCAGATCAGATACCTCTTCCTATGCATGAAATATGACAATTACGTGTTTGGTTTTGCGGGAGAATTTTCTAGTGGGGGGATGTTTGGCCGATGCCAATTGGCTGTATGTTTAATCTGTGCATATTTGGTATTGTTCAATGATTTTCACACGACGATGTTCAACGTTTTTGGCTATTTATGTCTGCAGAATCAACCCCGTGTGTTCCTTTTTGAGGTATCCTGTTATCATATGGAAACCCTAATTGAAATGGTCCATACATTGCATGTGTGAGCTACTGTCATCCATTAATGAAAGTGAGTCTCGTAATTTAACAATAGTTAACAACTCTTATTCGTTAATAGACGTTAGTCTCATGCCTTATTAGCAGTTAACAAACAAACACGCATATGAACGATTATCGTTAACACAGTTCAATTGAAAATCTATGCGATAGTTAATATTGCATGTCATGGTTAAAGCAAAAGTGGAGATTTTTCTGAGTCAAAAACACTACAAGAAAAATGAGCACTGCACACAATAAATTATCTGTTCCCTTTGAGGCCAAAAAGCACCAACAATTGTGCTTATAGACCAATAGCAACAATGCAGCTACTACGTTTACGTCTGTGCCCTCTATGGGCGTCACCATTTGTCAAAGGGCACAATATGGTCTTTGCTGCCCAAAAGGCTCAGCACAAATAAGGGTTTTCTGTGCCTCTTTTCTGACACCCATGTCAGATGACTTTTTCGTTAGCACAAGTTTGTTATTGTGCCTAATAGGATAAATATATAAAAAATATATATTCAAATACTAATACCATCAATAAGAAATTATTCATACATATAATGAAAATAATTCGTAATACATTTTTTATTCCATGAAAAACTATTAGCTAAATCTAAGAACCTAACAAATACCATTACTCTCGAGTTCCTCGCATGCCAGACAACCCTCAACCACCGCAAACAACCTTCAGCCCCTGCTTCAGCCTGTGAAAATGAACATGAGTGAGAAATCTATCGAGCAGTAAAAGCAGCGATGCTGATGCATTGCTACTTTCTTTTCAAAGACTATGTAGCAAAGTTTCGACAGAAACGCCAACCAAAATACATAAATATTTTTCAATCATTGCCTAAATATACATACCATAAACTTTAACGATTTCTTATGTAAGAGAGTAGCTAAATAGCAAGTTGTTACACTAGTCCTATAATTATAATAGTAGAAAGATATACTCTTCGCAGCATAATGCAACAACCAGCCAAATTGAAGAAAAGAGCCAAGAATAAGTAAAAAAACAAATAACCAGGCAAGCACAAGCTAATAAATAAGTTTTTTGAAATCTAACCTGCTTATAATCAAGTAGCTTTCAGCTTTGATAATGTCTTTCGTGCTTCCACTCGGTAGGGAACTATACAACAATATGAAAAATCATTATAATTTATCAATTTATTATAAGTCCGAAGAGAGGAAAGGTAACTTATCAATTCTAATACACAAAAAATCATGTAGTTACTCTCCAATGGAATAACCAGACAAAAGGAATCACCAACGGGAAATAATAATGCACTTAGTGTAGCATATACAAAAAGAACAAACTTTTATAATCCAATACAACAGAGGAGAAAACATATACCCTTAAAAGAATAAAATTTACCGAAAGGCGAAAACCTAACCTGTTCTGGGATGGAAAAATCTGAATCTCAACGTAGTCCCAAGGTGCACTGGCATCAATTTCCCCTCCATTTTCAATGCGCTTAAAACTAAACCCAAGCAGAGCAACCTGTATGGGAAAAGAGGGAAACAAAGTTTAGGTAAAAAAAATTCAGCATTTGAAAATGCAGCTTTACAAAAATTCAGCACTTAAACAAACTAAAAGCCTGCGAATTCAGTGTAGTATATACACATACATACATACATACATACATACATACATACATACATACATACGTACATATACATATAAATTCAAAGATAAAGAAAAACCAAACAATTTACAAGAGCAAAGAAAATGAAGGGATAAAGAATGAAAGACATACCTCTATCGTCTGTGGGAGGACTCATATTTGCTTTAGGGGCCTTTCCACCACCTGCTTAAAGATGATTCTTATTTAACAACTCCACCGTCCAAAACAACCAACAATGGAAGCAGAAGATTAATAGGGGAAACTACAAGTACTCCTCATAAAAAATACATTTACAAGCAAGATAAAAAACAAACAAAACTTCTAAGATTTTCCATAAAGCAGTTCACACAACCAACAAAAGGGGAAACTACCACATATTTCCAGTGATGTTCAAGGACCAAAAAACTTTCAAACATTAAAAACTTAAAAATGCATTACTAGGTTGTTCAGTCTCATAAGACTTTGCACAAGGTTACATGGCTAGTTGCTCAAGGATCAGATTCGTTATAGATAAATATTATCATCTTCATTTTGATTCCAGTATTCAAGCAGAGACTAGAGAAGTTTCCTATCCTTTTAAGTTATGTAACAGACTAAAGAAATTGACCAACTGGAATTACCGCTATTGAGAGCGACCATGGCAAAAACCTGTTGAAACCGACTAACATAACCCTTCGCTTGATGTTAGTGAATAAAAGACCCACTCGGCTAACAGACTACAATATTCATTACATACACATTCATTATGTAGTCAAATAGATACACATTCATTATATAGTCATTAAAACAAATATAGTCGAATTCAAAACCATTCCCACAATCAGTCGAAAAAGACACCAAAAAACGGAGTTAATTAAAATCAATACCTAGAAGTTCCAAATCTGCCATGAAGTAAGGCTACCTCAGCATCTTTCAGAACCTGCAAATTCAAAATGTCTTAATCAAGTATATAAGAAGAAAAATCAGGTAAGCAAATACAATAGCTCTGAAGGTTAATATCATAATCCCCTGTTTGTTGTAGAAGCCCTTTGCAAGGTTTGTGCTTTCTTGTGCTTCTTTGGATAAGGACGTATGGAAGTTCTTGTCGGGGAAATTTTAGATGGAAGCTAGTTGGAAATTAACAGCATCATATCAAGCAATTTGACGAGAGCATACAAAAGCTAGTTGGAAATAAAATTAACTATAAAGGGAAGATTGGGAGAAAAATTGGAAGAGACTTGAACAAATAAACCATTTGCCACTTCCAGTACCAGAGCAATTTGACAACATATCAAAGTACAACCAGTGCCAGTTCATTTGCTTTCTAAGAAACCTCCTTCTCTTTCTAGATTGTAAGTTCATTAATACATTATACATACTACTACCAGTACCAATTCATACTTTATTTCCTAAACTAAATTACTCTACCAGTTCACCTTCCTTAAAGAATCATTGCCTACTGTACAAATACGAAAACCCACTCGTTGTACAATCAACCTAAATTGTACAAATGCGTTCATAGTGACAAGTCACAAATATGAACAATCAACCTGAATTGTACAATCAACGAGAAATATGAACAAATTTGAGCAAAATGGAATAACAGCCTTCCAATTAATTATTGTGCCATTAAAAAGCTGAATAACATCTTTCCAAAGCCAAATATACCATTAGCTAATACATTAATTAGTACATATACAACTCAATATTTGTTAATTCATAAAAACAGCCAATCACCTTCCAGTATAAACCTATTCGAAGTGACAGCAGGTCACTTCCCATTCGAAGCAAAAATGGGTATGTTTGAATCTGAACCAGATCAAATCCCCTTTTGATTACCCAAAAGAGAAAAACGCTCAGTTCCCTTGTGTTTCAAACAAACCCTAACCCTAAAATTAATTACAAATTATTAACTAAATTAACCAATACAAGTTCTAAATTGTTACCATTTTACCTGGAACGAAGTGGAAAGGAAAGAATCCCATTATACAGGTATTGAACTAAAGGGGAACTCGGGATGAGATGAGAGTTGAGGTCGACTGATTTGTAGATTCTGTGTGAAAGAGATGGATTTGCAGAGTCTGTGAGAATTTGTGAACTCAACTGAAGACTTGAGTTGAGACCCACCGATTCTCAGTGTGTGTGAACTTTGAAGGGGAAGGATTTGCAAATTCTGTTTCTGCGTGAGATGTGAACTCCAACTTGAGAATTGAGATGAGAGGCGAGAGAGACACAGAGAGGGAAATAGAAAAATTTGGCGAAAATAGATAGAGAGAGAGAGAGAGAGAGCCTAGGGTTGAAGAGAGGCTCGGTTCGATTGGGAAGGGGAGAGCCAGAGAGAGAGGAGAGGCGGAGGAATTGAGGAGAGGCGGAGGAATTGAAAGGGGAAACACAGAGAGGCGTGAAGATTGAGGAAAATGGTTTCTTATTTTGTTTAAAACATTATTTTAAACAAAGGGCACAAAAAATCTACTTTTACTTCAAATATATTAAATTATAGGACACAATTATATTTAGGGTGTCATTGCAAATTAATAAAAAATTTCCATTGCTAACATTAACGGCACAAAAGTCATGGCTCTGTGCCCAGTAATGTGTTTGTGTCCACTTTTCTTAACATTGCGCACAAGTCATGGTGCCCATTACCAAATGAGCACTGTTCCACCTTATTGGTGTTTAAACAAACACAAACACCTCATTGGTGTCCCTAATTTTGTGCCCAAAGGCCATTTTTCTTGTAGTGAAATGGTGTACAGGATAATTAGTCGTCATTGTCCAGCTTGATTAGTTTGAAGGCATGTCCTTAGAACTCCAATACCGGGGTGGATCTCTCTCCAGTCACAGCCGTGTAGGTAAAAAGTAAAAAAGTAAAAAGCTGAGGTGCTCGTCCATTACTTATCACTCATGATTAAAATCATGCATGTCTGACCGTCATCCCTAAAGTCAGTTGCAACTTGGAAGACTGGGAAAGCTTGTGGGTGCATGCAAGGCGTGACCATAGCTACCACAAGTTAGAACGAAATACACAAAAGCGAAAGAAAAATTGTGTTTTCTAAAGCAAGACAACGACGGAGAGAAAGAGAAAGCTCATCAAGAATTCCGTGCCCCTTTTTGGTGTCTTCGTAATGAACGCTTGTTTGATAAGAGTACACTATTATAATGACGTTACGTGTCAATAATACAAGAATATGTGTTCGTTTTTTTTATTTCTAAATATCTTTTCATCATTAATACAAAACGTCACTATGATAAGAGTATAGTGACACAAGTTATCTCCTTGCCTAGACTCATCATAGTAACTAGTCTAACGACACTCGATCAACGAACACTCGCTATATACTTGGTAGAGTCCAAGTAACCAAGTGTTTGAAACGTTAATTTCGTTGTCACATACATCACATCATCGTTGCCTCAACGATACGGCAAGAACAACGTTCTCACATGCAACCACAGGCCAAGTCTACTTCATGTAGACATCACAATCTCGCATGGATTAATTTTAGAAGACACAAATTTGAAGAGTATTTGTGAAGTTTGAGTCGCATTCTTACCTTTGGATCATTGGATGTCAACTCTTCTCCTCATGCATGCTCCACTCAACCATACACATTGTCTTGTGGTATTTGGTTTATTCTTTGCTTGAAAACTATGTTGAGAGCTCGAACTTTGGTGTCATTTGTACTTAAATTCAACTTCAATAATTTGCACAATCATTGACGTCCTTGCTTTTACTAAAGTATGATTATTCGAATAATTCAAATTTTCGACTTCCCATGTGTTCATAAACACAAATGAAGTTAAAACAAAAGAAAGGGGGTTAAATTCCACCTTCTAAATCCAAATATCAATATATGAAATATCATGTGTAAACTCGACTAGGGTGACCAGTTGATTCGACTCCATGTCTTCTTTTTGATTGCGATCCGTGACTTCCTCTGTTGACATTTGAATTTAATCCATCAAAGTAATGATTGAGTGTTACTAAACCAAAAAAAAATCGACCATAAACCTTCGCTTCCTTCACTTTCTTTTCCTTATGTACCCCATCTTTCCCAGCCCTACTTCTTGTGGGCTTTGATAATGAGATAAGGCCCAATAATGTCATTAAGGCTCAAGTGAAATTGAACCAACAGGCTCCACTGCAATTTGGGTTTTTTTCTTCCGCCAAATCATTTGCTTCGCCAACTTCAAAAAGTTAGTTAATTAGTTAGCGCGAACCCAGAAACCCTAAATCCCCAATTTATCTCTGCTCCCCAAACCCCATGGCATCGAGGAAGAAGCAATCCGACGCCATAGCTCTCCTGCTCTCCAATTACAACGACGAAGAAGAAGATGAAGACATGGAGGACGTTGAGCAGCACAACAACAAAGAAGAAGAAGGAGATGATGAGCGACGAGAACGGAGAGAATTCGACGATTACGGTGAGCTGAGAGGCTCGGGAGATGCTGCAATGGCGGATGTGGATGGAACGGTGGGTGGTGAGTCTGGAACGATGATAGCGCACCGCCGAATGCCGGGGATAATGAGGTGGCTTCGGATGGTTTGAATAGAAGAAGAAGAGGAGCGCTTACGATTGTGGACTACGGGCACGATGAAGTTACTATGTCTCCTGAGCCTGAGGTATTCTTTTTTTCTCTGTTTTTTTTTTTGGGTGGAAGTTTCTTTATTTCTGAGAAACTGAATGAAAAATGATTTGGGTATTATCATGTTCTTCTGAACTTGATTGATTTTTTAATGTTAGAGTCGAATTCTTGTTCCAGTTCGATTGAGAGTGCGCAGTTCATGTTTTCAATTGCAAAGGATGATACTTTGAGTTTGAGTATTCGAAAAGCGGTAGTCATGTTAGGTTTTGCCCTGCCAAATGTAGATCTTTTCCTTGATATTGGATATTGAACAATGCTCCTTGTTTATTCATACATAATTTGGGTGTTTGGGAGTTTGTTATCATTGCTGACCTTATTAGTATGTTGTTTTGGGTGATGCTTGATTGCAGGAGGGTGGAATAGAAGGGATTGGTCGTGTTCCTGGTGATTTCCATGATACGACACCTCCAGGAACAGTTCGCACTCCACAATTATCTGAACCGTCAAACTCTGACACAATGAACGATACTGTACTTGAATCTGAGGGTAGACATGCTGCCGAGGCTGTTGCAGAAGAGCAGAAAGATATTGGTCCGTTGGATAAGTTTATACCACCACCGTTAAAAGCAAAGTGTTCAGAGGAACTGCAAGTAAGTTCCTTTTAGATTCTGATTTCCAATTAGGTTCCTATGGGGTTATAGAGTGTAGAACTGTTCATCTTGGAGATAGCCTCTTGTTCTTGATATTTTCAGGATCAATTGATAAAGCCTGATCTAATATAACTTCTTAAGTCGTATATGTTTAGCTTATTGTTCTATGGTCACACAACGTTTGTATTTGAATCTCGGAACTCTTTTGAGGCTTTGTCCTTTGCAAGCATCCAAATCCAATAATTTGTGGTTTTCACTTTGTAAAGATGATGCCTGTGTGCCTTTTCTTCACTTGACAAGTCATTTCATGTTGTGTATTTGTTTAACTTTTGAGTTTCTTCTTACTGCAGAGGAGGATAAATAAGTTTCTTGAATACAAGAGAGCTGGGAAAAGCTTCAATGCAGAAGTACGTAATAAGAAGGACTATAGGAATCCAAACTTTCTGGTGCATGCGGTGAGGTATCAAGATATTGATCAGATAGGGTCTTGCTTCAGTAAAGATGTATTTGACCCTCATGGATATGACAAAAGTGACTACTGTGATGAAATAGGTTACTCACAATTCTTTCAACTCTCTTTCTGTGTATTTCCTGTCATGCATCAGTGCACTGTTTAACTTGTAACATTGTATATAATATTTCGTATTTCACGTAAGTGCATTGTCAAGTTAGCTATTCTGGTTAGTGATGCTTTTTGAAATTTTCTCTGATAGACTATTTCGTATGTAGAGGGTGGTATTCAAGAAATTTTAGTAGGACTTATGTATTCTAAAAATAATTGGATAATCTGCTGCTATTACAAATACGAAATTCTAGACTGTAATGAAGAGGACACTTTAATGTTTTTCTGTACAGAATTTTGTTTTCCAACCCTGTTAGTCTTTCTTCTGCTTATGTTTTGTATGTTTTGGTAAGCAGAGGCTGATATGAGGCGTGAAATGGAAAGGAAAGAGCAAGATAGGAAGAAGAGTCAAAAGGTTGAATATGTTTCAGGAGGAACACAGCCTGGAATAGCTGGTGTTGCACCTAAAATTAACATGCCTTATCCAGGTTCGAAGCAAATTTTAATTTTAAACTTGGGTAGTAAAGATTGATTAGGCATGTGCAATTCCACACAACTTTATCACCTGAGCCAAGGCCTTGGCCCATCGGCTTTGTAGTTAAATCCTTTCTCTTTCATTTTATTCTCGTAAGTTCTCTTATACCGTGTCATTCTGCAGGTGTTTCAACCATGGCTGCTACTGGGTTGAACTCCTTACCGCCTGCAGCTGATGTCATCCCTCGGGAGGGTAGACAGAACAAGAAGTCAAAATGGGATAAGGTTTCAAGCTATGGATATGAACTATTACTTCCCTATAAATTGTGAGAGATATCAATTGATTGATCAACTGTTTTAAATGACGTTACTTCTTTCAGGTCGATGGTGATCGAAAAAATCCTCTTCCCTCAGGACTGCAGGATTCTATGTCTACTGTGGGGACTCACGCAACACTCTTATCTTCTGCCAGTGCTGGTGCTGGATACATGGCTTTTGCGTAGGTTTTGTTAACAGCTTTTGGTCTTATTTTACTCATCCATCGTAAATTCCTTTCCTGTTCTTAGTGACCATGTCATGATAAGTTTTTGTTTCTTTTTTTCGTCCATTTTAAATTTACTTGTGTTCTTGTGTTGCCAATCCTTTCCGACTTCTCACAAAATGACCACTTCGCTCTAATTTGGCAGGCAGCAGAGACGAAGAGAGGTGGAGGAGAAACGATCAAGTGAAAGGAAGTTAGACCGACGATCTTGAGCCGTTTCTTATATTTCTTCCTAGCAGAGGTAAAGTCATGGAGAGAAGCACAGCCATCATATACAACAGATTTCAAAATTTCAAGAGGAGAAAACGACTCCAGGCAGCACTATTTACGCCTAGATGCACTGCAACAGGCCTTGTAACTTTTGCTATCGATTATACATGTACATGTTCGGAATGATAATCCGCTTGATAGCACACAATTCGAGGGAGCGCAAGTCGAATTTTCCTTGGGTAGAATCCAACTACAGAGGAAAGAATCGAGTCGACATGAT